GCGGAGATAGTGTCGTTTGCACCTGCTACATTGTAGACCTTTGGGAAATTTTGAAGTGGATACAGATCTGTTTGAGGATGCGGTGCCTCAGTTCTATTTTGCTGTGACGCTACGGGTGTGCTGCTATGGTTGTATGTATTGAATGGTAAGGATATTTGGGTCTTAAGATAGATGAGTAAGAGGCGTCCCAGGAGTTTGATAGTGACTATGGTGCAGCATATGGCGATCCAGGGCTGATAAATATACGTGGAAAAAATGGACCCTAAGCTAAGATTGATTTCATCTGTTTTGGGGAGCGAAAATGAAGAATGTGAGGAGGAACTGGAGTGTATCTGCAGATGCTCGTTGAGAGTGGTGTGAGAGTTCTCAAATGCCGACCATAGCTCGGTAAATTGCTGATCTGGCAAGAATTCAGTGATGTTTGTGATGACAAGATTGTGAAAGAGTGTAAGCGCTGGGCGAATATCCTTCTGTGGAGAGTTTGCGGTGTACTGCAGATTAACTACTTCCGATGGTGAGATGCGCTGATAAGTTGCCGTTAACGGGAAAAATTTAATAATTGCGTAATTCGTGGGGAACTCAAATGAAATGGAGGGTTCGCAAGAAATTTTAGTGGCTGTTTTTGTTAGGATATTTGTCGTAGGATCGATAAAGGTGCTCCAATGTGACTTATCCGGAAGAGCAATTTCAACGAGAGGGAGGGAGAAACAAGAAGAATTGAAGCGGATCAAACTATAAGAAGAATTTGATATTGTGATGCAAGATTTGGTGCGGACGATATGATTGCCCAAGAATGTAGCTTGTATGTCAGAGCGGTGAAGAACATTACGCATTGCAAGGGTTGGATTTGCAGATACAGCAGCGATCAATGAGGAGGTCATAGAGTTGATGGATTTGCATAAATTCATGATAGAGTAATGTAACGATGTGCTAAGGCTATTCTGCATATTGTCTTCTACGGCCAGTAATTGAGCGGCGAGCTGATTAGTTGTGGTCAATCCCACACGTTGCAAAATAGGGGATTGTATTGAGCGTTTTGGACGAAGCATGGGGGACAAAAGTTCTACGGCATATCCCTGATCGGTAGGGATGAGGAAGTGTTCACAATCATGGATCTGAGGAGTAGAAGAGGCAAGAGAGAGAGCAAATTCTTTAGTATCACTTAACCATACTTTATCTACTAGAGTGCCTTTCATCAAAGCAACTAAAATATACTTACATTTCTCCTGGGCCTCGGGCGTCCATACCATTGCTGCTCCTTCTTTCGTGTTGCAAGTGCCGTCTTCGTAAGAGCATCCCTCCAGTGGGCCAACTGTGCTTTCGATGGCTGTGGATCCATGGTATGCGTAGACGCTTGCCTGGAATGTTATACAATTAGTAACTACTAGGATATGTTCTGAACAGCAGTGGAAGGGTGCGCTTGGCCAATCAATTTTTACTTTATTGTTAGTCTTCCAAACTTTACCAACCGCTGAAAGTTCGCCGTGAGCGCACGATTTTTGACGCACCATATGTTTACATGTGCCGGGGGATACGGTATGCTCCTTGGTTTGGGAGTGTTGAAAGCGAGCTCCAAAGAAGTTGACTGAGTATGTTACAGTTTGCGTAATAATACGACAAACGTCGGCTGTACTCTGGTACCGTATCGTGTTTGGTCTATACACTTTCAGCTTTAGGGGCCTTACGGGAGCAGTCCAATTTGGGATTATACTCGCGCAGTCAAGCTCAGATGGTAACTTCCAATAATTGGATGGGGACTTATTTGAACATAGGTAAGCTGGTGGTAAGTGTCCTAAGGCTACTTGCGTTAATAAAGTTAGCACTAGTGCGAACGTGAATAGCGCTTTTGGAGGAGCTGTCATTGGAGCTTGATATGTGCTGGGGGGTGATTCGTCAACTTGCAGCTGTTGGGTTCTAAACGCTAGGTCTGCAAGCTCGTTATTCCGTTTGATTAGGGCTGCGATGTGTGCATCCTTGGGATCTGAGTATTGGTCGGACGGCGGACCTAGTGTGGACGCTGCTATGTCCGGTTCAGGCTGCAATGCAAAAGCAGTGTTCTGCCGAGTATTGGTATAGCGGAAGCTATTGTCTACATAGCGGCGGTTAGGGATGTTAATGTTGGCCGGAGGAATGAAAGTCTGGTTTCTGCGGCGCCAAAATTGCGGATTCGGGTTGCTACGTGGTCGCGCTAGCTGACAGGATGCTTGCATATGGCCCATTTGGCCGCAACGATAACATTTGATATTAGAGTTTATGTTGCGCTTCCAATTTCGTGAAGGATACTTATACGCAGGGCGCGGCGGATTTTGCAGGTCATTACCGCGGAAGGTTGGTTGATAATCTCTAGCAGGGTTTCGACTTGCGGTGAGCAAATTGACCGCTGGAGCTGGTGGTGGGTTCGTTGGAAAGATAGTCAAAGAGTTTGCGTAATCATTTAAGAGTGACTCATATGTTAATGCTGTAAATACTGCGCCATCAAAAGTGGTTGGATTTGTTGGTCGGACATGGAACTTGAGGGCTGGTTTCAGTCTATCCACGAATTCATCCAGTAGTCTCTCATTCTGGATATTCTTAGGTTGCCCCTGGGTTACTATTTTCACCAGTTTTTTGACCCTTTCTGCGAAATCCCTAACGGTTTCTGTTTGCCCTTGCTTACATTCAGAAAGTTGCTGCCGAGCAAAACTTCGAAAACTGATGGACTCAAAATGCTCTTTTAAACGACTTACTATTTTATCGTAGGAGTTTTTGTCCGTATCTGGCATGTCCTCCACTAAATCGCGGGCTTCGCCATCGAGAAAGGCCACTAAAGTGTTGGTCTTCAATTGCTCTGGAATAGGAGGATTGGTCATGCGGATAGTGTCCTCGAATCTCCTTAACCAGGCTGCGAATTCTTGGTTATTAGAACCGGAGAATAAATTTATTGTTTTGGGCGCGAGCTGCCCGAAGGCCAGGCCGCTGGAGGAATTAGGAGATGATTCCCCTGAGGGGGAAGACATTTCCCTAGAGACTGCCGAGTCTGAACGTTCGCTTACTAGACTTGGAGGAGGATCAGAGGACTCCGAAAGTTGCGTGGATAACGATGTAACTCGGTTATGACACTGAGAACGTGTAAGAGGAATGCTGTATGAGACGAATGTAGGAGGGGAGATACCCTCGCTACGTTCTGAACACAACGAGAATGAATGGTGAGATGTCGGCATCACGGCATATATACAAGCGGAATACTTATCTTAGTAAATGATCAGTATGTGAAAGGTTGTGATATTTTGAGAAGCTCGGGTTATCTGATGGCATTTAGCAGAAGCATGGGAAAGCGGAAACAGCGATGTTTTCTAGATGCTATCGCTTGAGAATGCTACAGCGCGGCTACAGTATGATTACACGAAACGTCCATGCAAGACAACATTTCAATTCAAATTGCAATTGCAAGGAATAGGTACAAAAGTTGCGCAAGGCTTGAAATTCAAACTGCAGTCGATACGCCTTTCAAGGAATCACGCGTATGAAGACAAAGAGCTCTGCCCGGAAGCTTTTGATGCTTTGAATGCGCGCATGCTCGCAGTAGAACCGTATCGATTCTTTGTTCAGCGAGGAGCATGGTGAAGGAAATTTGAAATTCGGCTGCTTAGCGAGCTGAAATCACTGGAACAGAATATACAGGACAGTAGACAGAATACGTCTCGTGCTAACTGCGCAAAAGTAAAACCGGTTTATTTCTCCTGGTCCCTTACGGCGACGAGGATGAACTTACTGGGTACCCACCGTCGTTCCTAATCCTTATTTCACCGACGTAACACCAAACCACAAAAATAAGAGAAGGATTTACAAGGAAAAATCATAGGTAATCTTGGGTGATCAGTCCAAGCCTAAAAACTTACCTAGGTAAAGCCTTTCTCCCCGGTTGAGGCTGACCGGTCATCCCTCAGGCTATTCCTGAGAGGTTCACCCTACTGAGAGGAAGGTCGGTGAAAACGCGGGCTTCTAAAGCCCGCACTCGCTGCTACCACTAAAGGAACCACGATCAGCCTCTCTCTGATCGGGCCTTATAACTTGCCCTCACCAATTACTAGCCTCAGCTGCAGCACAGAACACATCAATAAGATATACATTTATGGGCAAGAACGGAACGACAACACATCAACATCAATGAGAACACAATCGAGATCAACTGGAAGTGAGGATCCTGAACGAAGCACGAGAGACGGGTCTGGCGACCCAAAGACGACACGTCGCCAGACGTCCATTCACCATACTGCCGTACCGTTCCGCCTCTCGTCTTTATGCCCTGCTCGTCGAGTTATCGTGCCACCGATCTGTAAGCAAAGGGCGAGAAGAGAGCCTGGGAGAATAAACACAAAGCCTATGCAACAGCTAGAAATTTGAAAAGATCTGAGAGATCTCATTACTCACCCTGCTCTCTCTTACACTACCTTCAAACGATACTCAATAGCGTGACTAGAACCCAACGGACTTGCACTGGGAATATACACCAGTTTATCCCAAACAAATACAAAGAACTACAGTAAACTCGACATCGAATAACGAAAACTGCTAACTATATTTCGGGCGAGCCGCGGAAACCCGCTCCACTAATGGCCCGGGAAACCTTGACTCCACCAAACAAACTCAGGGTTCCTCTAGGGCGCACCGCACCATGCCAGGTCCTTGCCATTGTTCCATGTTTTTCTGTGCCAAGAAAATACTGCAGACATTTACATACTGAGTTATATAAAGAAACATAGTGGATGGAGCGTAAATTCGAGAATGACAGGGTAGGTATCTCCTCGATGAGGTTGGTGGCATAGTTCCAGCCATACGCGGTCAAAATTGATTTTTGTCATTGAAAGTTTGAACACAAGTTTTGCAATGTTCTACACAACGTAGACCCGGGTAAATCACTTTCATCTTTCTTGTGTAGCTATCACGTTTTCAAGTGTGTGGAGCCTACCGCACCACTATATGGGAAGTGAGCAAATCGACTACGCATTTATAATGCACTCCCTGGTATCACTTATTTGGCACGCATGTTCTGTTCAATGGATTTTTTCATTTATTAATATGTCCACAACTGGTTCTCTAACTCTATTATTTCTCAACAAATTGTCACGAAAATGTACTGCTACAACACCACTCCAAGCACATATCGAGAACAATAAACCATATGGTTGGAGCACACATCATTTTGTATAAGTGTGTACTCAAGAAATGATGAAGATAAGAAGTGAGAGCTGAGAGGCTGAAAGAAAAGTATGTGGCTTTGCGAAAGGCAGTCATGGATAGGAAAATCAAAAATAAATCGAAATAAACGAGCTTGAGGTATGGCTTGACCTCCGAGAAAAGAAGCGAGGGTGCAGATTCTTAGATCCACATAAAGAATGAACAATGATAGCTTAGAATCGTAGCTGTGGAGAAGAAAACCGGAGCACGTAATATAAATATTGATGACTAGTAATCGTTAGAAGAGGAAGGGCATGGAAAAGGGAGATTTATGGGAGAAGATGGGTAAGATTTGGAGCACTAAGCCTAAAAAGCTTAACAAGGGCACCAAAGAGAGGCATGAGAAGACCAAAAACTCAAAAAGTCAACAGAAAACACTAGGTAAGCTAAGAGTCGGAAAAGATGGGGGTTGACGGAGCAGAAGTGAGTGCTGATGTGAGCCACTGCTCCAACATGATTTCGCCCATGGCTCACAGCACTTGTAGGGTTTTGTGCTTTGACGTGACGAATGTGCTCGGCAGTGGCATTCGTAGCGGTGATCGTGAAATCACTCCTTTGCTCACTGCGAGTAGTAAAACACGCGGTCAAAGCACTCGGTGAGGTCTTCGTTGTCGTCATCGAGACTCTCAACGTCACTCGCTCCATCAGATGCCGAGTCCATCGTATCCGAGCTGTTATTAGCGTTAGCGCTGGTAGCATAGGCGCCACCAGTCGCTTTGTTATGAATTCCAATAATACGCTCCCTGAAATGAAATCATTGAAAATGAGAATGATAACCCAACAAGATCAAGTAAGCTTCAACTGAGAACTATTGGTGGGCAAAATTTTGATGTAGTACAATAGCGAGACCTTTGATTAAGTGAATATCCAAGTCCCGCTGCAAAATGTCAATCCCAAAGCGAGAAATTGTCCCAAAAGTTAGATGCTGCTAGGGTCAGCACACCCAATAAGGTTAGTGGTCTAAAAAATCGAAACAGCATCAATATACCCAGAAACTTTGGAAGTCCGCATTACTGTGAAAAAGCACATTTTCTAGAAAAAGCACATTTTCTACATGTCTCGAAATTCTGAATTTCAGTCTTGGCCTCATTAGTTGGCACCACCAAAGTTTATGGGGGTGGCGACCCCAACAGCACCCACCTAAACCAGTTTTCTCGTTTCCGAATATACCTTTTGCAGCGAAACTTGAACGATTATTTGAAAAGGCCTCACTATTTCACTGCATCGAAATCCCACCAACATCAGAATTGCGTGAACGGTATATTCAAATCAAAAATCTGATCAAATCCTAACAACCACAGACGAAAACATACCACTTATCAACGCCGGCGAAATAATACACCGGCGGTGCCGCATGTTCGGCATCGAGCGGCATCGTATACGCTCCAGCATCTCTCCAGAGTAGCCAATCACCTACACGTAGCTGGCGGCAACGAATTAGCGATTGGGCGACGTCGCCAGGTTGAAGCGAAGCGCCCAGCACAGTGCCGAAGTGCTGTGGGGCATCAGCGACGTCCTGCAAAACGTAATCTCTCAGCCCCATTCGAATAGAAGGCGAATATAATAACTTACTTCTAGAGGGATGCATTCCAGATGCGAGTTTTCTAGCACACAACCGAATGAACCAAAAATGCTGTCATTGATCTGATAGACATAACCGACACCATCATCGAAATCTGGAATCAGATTGCATAAGCAAATTATCACTATTTCAATTTGTGAAAACCTAGAGTAACAAGAATCTCACCATCTTTAGTGATGAAACGAGCCTCAAGAGCTTGCTTTCCAATCACATTAGTGCAGAGTACGAATGCTGCAGCAGCAAAGTATCTGAAAGCATCAAACTTTAGTCTTTGCTAATCTTTGATAGCAGCATCAGTATGCTTCCGTTGCCGACAACCAAGCCATTAATGGCCATTAGACTGACATATGAGGGGATAATGATTTGTAGTAAGCCTGAATTCCTTATTAATGCGAACAAAGACTGGAAACGCGCGCTTAGCATCAAAGTTCAGCCCATGCACTATTGCGAAGATATGATCCATGACTTTGGAAAGAATTTGAGCTTAAGAAAGAGCTACCCCTTTTCTATGACTTCAACTAATAACACAAGGGTGGGTGAATAGGCAAGGGTAACAAGACTTACAAGACTTGTTAGAGAAACAATACCTTATTGTTTAATATATGCTAAAGAGGGGGAGGGGGGAGGGGGGAGGGAGGGGGAATAGCTGAGTCCTTATCATACTCATAACCAAATGTGCCATGTTTCTGGCCCACCCTGCGGACTCAATGAATCCTGGATGGGGCTAGGGAAAATGGTGAATGATATAGGCCTCAAAAAATGAACACGTAGCAAAATGCCGCATTCATTGGCAGGAATAGGCCACAAATAATCGTTTGAAAAGTATATCTATTGAGATGAGAATAAGACCAAAGGGACTCAAGTTACTCTGGGCGGAAAACCTGTACAAAGTACCGTCAACAAATGTTAAATTTGGAAGCAGCAGAGAACTGCTTAACTGGTAGTAAAGAATCTTACCTTCCAGGTGTTGCAACAACTTTAAGTTTTGGGAACTCTCTGCTCCAAAACAGCTGATCCAAACCAGTGTTGATCACATCACACATCTGAAGTACATAATTTACCGTATGCCTAACGGAGACCTTTATTCTATACTCACCTCTGGAAAGCGTTGGTCTTTGTCAATGTTGCTTGCTGGAAAGCCGCCTCCAAGGTTGATAGTGTCGAGCTGGAGGCCAATGCGATTGGCAAACATGAAAAGCTCGTGGACTTCATGAAGAGCTTTGTAGTAAGCGCAGGCCGAAGTGGCTGCTCCCAAGTTGAAGCTGAAAAGAAGATCAGTCTGATGTAGAAAACTTCCTTGATTGTGGGATTAGAAATTTGTAGTAACTAAAGCAGACTCTAAGGCCTGTGGTGTATCATTTCCCATACCCACCCTGTGGACCAATTTAATTCTGGATGGTACCAGAAAAAATGACAAAAGTGCTCTTGGCCCCTAAAAGCAGGATACGTGCCACAATGTCATATCCTGGTCCGCAAGAGGCCGTTTCTACTCAAAATGAGCAAATCTCACCTCATTCCAACGACTTTGGCGCGCATTTCAAACGCAGTCATCAGCAGATTTTCAACTTCTTCCGGATCAGCGCCTTTTTCAGTTGTTAGCGAGTCGTCAGCATCACTATGTCCATTCATCGAGATGGCAATTAGTATGCTTAAATTCACTCTTAGAGATTATCTCACTCTTGCATAGAATTTGCAACCAACCGAGCTTTGGGTGCATAGCTAATAGCATCCAGCAGTTGTTTCTCATTTTCGATGACAATAGTTCCAACTTCAAATTCTCCAGCAATTTTCATAATCTTGCGAGTCCAAAGTGGACAGTCAAAGATGATTCGATCGGCCGAAACAAGTTCAAGTGCCTAAACACTTTTCAATAATCGATGGAAATCAGCAGAATTACATCGGAAAAAATATAAGAAATAGGAGATGGTACGAGATATTCAGTAAACTCGTCAAAAATACGACTTCAGAAAAAAGAGGAAAAAGTTGTACAAATTTCAAAAGAAATGATATTTCACTATACTCACCATTGCCAGTTCTTCTGCATTTGAGACAGCAAATCCAAGTTGTGCCGAATCGGCAAGCATTCTGGCTAATACGGGATCTGCGTTACAACGTAGAGCGTAGTATGCCTGTACGCGTGGTAGACGTTCTTGCCAATCGTCAACACGTGCCATCACTGATGGCATGTCCATGACGAAAAATGGTGACGCTCCAGGCTAAAAAAAACAAAAACAAATAAAATTAATGATTAGACCAAGAGATAAAAAAATTCTGAAGCTAGAGAGATGAGAATAGTGAACGAAAAAAAGATGAAAACTCAAAAACTTACCAATTTATTAGCGACATGACGTGCGATTTGTGTAGCATCGCGATTTCCGCCTATGATCACTACAGGCTGTTCAGCGAACAGACAACGTGACCAATGCTCATCTTCAACAGGCGAACAGTACGATGCAGATGGGAGGCGACGTCGCTCGATCATGCAGCAAGTGGGTAGCTTTTTATATTCTAAAAATACACAGCTAAAGACATTTGCCAAAATTAACTTCCAGCAGGATTTTTCTTTACCGTAGAAGGTAGAAGTGAAGATACGGTAGTCACCAGATAGCCGTATACCGTGATTTTACGATAGGGCAACAGGTAAAAAATACAGAATTACTCTGAAGAAACCCCATCACCTTGTGAAAACAACTGCTTTTATCTACTAACAGTAAAACGCTTGCTGAAAACAGAGAATCAGCTCAAATAAATACAAGCTGAAGCTAGTTGACATTTATCGTGATGCTACGGTAACGCTACCGTGATGCCACCGTATCCCACCTCATAGTTGAATCAAAAACGAAAGAAAAAATTGTTTTGGTAGTTAGAAAGATATATAGCAAATTCAAAAAAAAACTTACCCTAGCTATCTGTTTAGTCGAGTTAGGGTGGAATGTGGCGGTTGGAGCCGACGCGGCGTGCTATCTCTTCAGGTGACGACCAGTTGCACGGTAGTGGTGGCGGCAGAAGCGATTCGGCAACGACGGCGACGGGGCGACACGCGACGCTAGTAGCGACGCGAGACAAGGCGATTGGCGATATGGTAGAGGCGAGAACACGTGTGTCGCAGCGACAACGACGCTCAAAAGCGGCGGTCACTCGCACACGCGGTGGCGGATATGAAAGTATAAACGGGAAGGCGAGAGATCGAGACCGGCTGTAGACTTGGCCTGAAAATACTAAACTTAGTAAAACATACATATTAGTAAAAGGGAATAGTTTCCAAAGCAACTAGCAATTCTGATTAACGCATTGATACAGGATGAACTGGTAGAGCCTCATATCCGACTACTCAGACTACCACCGAAAAAAAAAAGATAGGTATTAGGGTGTCTCATTATTTTTTACCGTTTCCCAAATATCAGCATTTAAAGATGGGACACCTCAAATAATCCAGATACGTGATCGTACTTCTGTATGTATGAGCTATGTGATCACATGCATGGGAGGATCTCAGGAGGTCTAGAGGCGGAGTTTGTCATGTTGCCCCAATCATTATTCCCTTTGATTCTAGCCATGGAAAGAACTCGAAAAGTGTACAGTTGAATACGCGATGTGTCAAGCGTATGCTAGGATAAACGGGGAACTTTCTGGATATTTCGGGTCGGAGATACGATTTTTGAAAGAAAGGTTCGTTTCAGACTACTATTCAGAATTCAGCTCAAAATTTCACGTGGGATATGATTGGGGCAGACTTTTGATAGACATCTTGTAGAGCTTGCTTTGCCCTGTCGAATGATTACTCAAGCCACTCAGATGAAGGAAAGATACAAAAAGACGGCGGTTGCAGTAAAAACGATAAATATGAGACACCTATTAATTTTCGCGACCCCTAAGTGATTATCAAAATTCCTAGCAAAAAACTGCTCCAAATAGCAGTGATAAACGAAACCAGCAAACGGTCTTCCGCAGACAGCGAACGGTCGCTACCGATGCTTTAGCGCGCTCTACCCTGGGTAGAGTGGTTTGACTGAGAAGTCAAAATTTACATAATCTTCAACGTGGCGAACTAAATTAGCGCAGATCAAGCAGCCAAATTGTTTACTGGCCATAAACTGAAAGTTTACTTTCCTCATTCAACAGATTCTTTTTATAAATTTCATCTACACTGCTCATACACTGCTTATACATCACCGAATCAACGGCCTATACATTGAATATGGTTGCACAAACATGGAAGGTTTTTGTTAGAAAGCCGCTCTTACCCGACCAGTAAGCTGATTAAGCCGCTACGATCTCTTGAGAGGCAATAAATGAAACCCACTCAAATACAGGCAAACCTTTTCCCTGGGTGCACAGTTCATTAGCTCTTTACTAAACCAAGTACGTCACAGCGAACATTAATCGCTCTTTGGGCTTTCTCTCAGATAAACAGTACTGTGCAAACGAAAATGACGAATATACCTGGATATATTGAATTTTAGTAATTTGACCTGTCAAGGCCAGTCTAGGAAAGCGAAGCCTTCGGGTACCATCAAGAAAAGGCCCTAGCGCGCAATATAAAGTTTGCGCAATATTCAAAGGTTCTACAGTCGCTCTGGAAGTAGTCGCTTCGAAATACTCTGATTAACTTACGTCAGCAGTATGGGTCTGGATCCCACGGTGGTTCGGCGTTCTTGTCAAGCTGACACTGGCTTGCTCTTAGTTGTGGCTCGGCGTAACTGAGGAACAGAACGCCAAGTAGACTCTGAAAAAAAAACACATCTAATTCTAACTTAGTTATGACAATTCTTAACTTTCATTGAGAAACAATATCCGCCATTCTGCAAACTAGAAAATGCCGAGAGTTTTAAGCAACAAGAAAAGTTTGACAGCGAAAGAAATGACGACGGTGTGTTCAAGAATTTTACCTTACAGTAAATTGAATATATTCTCCAACACCTTCAGTTCACTCCTACTATGTCTACCGAAGAGCCAAAGGCAGTGTTTACAGCTCTAGATTTCTTTGCTAATGTGTGCAGTTGCACATTTCCCAAGACGAGGTTGGCTATGTAGCTTAGGCATCGTCTTTCTTGTTTTTGTTCGTTGTTTAGACACAACTATAGTGAATGTTATACTATTCCTACATGAAGGATTTGGCGCCCTACCGTCAACAACCTAGAAAGTATGCAATTGCACGAATTAGCCAAGAAATGTACTTTTTGAATGAAAGGTCAAATGCAGACGAAAAAAACCCGCTATCTCCGGCCACTGTCTCAAGCAAAGCCAAAGTTGCATAAACTTTTGTCTTTTCGCAATTCAGAAGCATTCATGCATAAATTTTGCAAATGACATAGTCCTCCTCACTCTTGGCACGAAGCCAAGCTTTGCTCTTAGCAAAAGTGCACCACTCTCTCCATCTCAAAGATCTCCGCAGCGCGTATAAGCCCTAGTCCCGGCACATGTGACATCCGAGAACGTTATTATTTGCTGCTGACGGGGCCTAATGACGGCTCTTGGCTACGTGCCAAGCGCGTCGCATGTCTCTCTCGCCAGCGCTGGCACACAACGAAAATAGGCCACGCTTGAGAGCGATGCAATTCTTTGCACATCCGGTCACGAGATGAAAACTCAAGTAATACACAATGCATCGAGAGCGCCGTGTGATTGGAAATGCAAGCGGGACCATTGATAGAGATAAGCTGATTAACCCGCCAAGAGAAAGGCAAATGATACAGGGCAGATTAGCAAAACAAGGAGGGCAAAACGCGGAGGGGGGGGGGGGAATAGGGGGCACGTGGTATCGCTGTGTGTTTCCAGTAGTTGTTTCACAGTTTTTAGAGGATTACAAACAGAAAAAGCGGCACTTCCCAAAGTTTAATCACAGTATATGGTATAGGGCTTTGCGGAATCTCGATAATAGTATCGGCTACGGACAATGCTCACGCAAGACGCCACAGGGCCCTAAACCACCCAGACAAAAGAGATCAACCCCCGCACTTTTCAAAATCGCTTCAAGTGAGTGAACATCTGATGCAGAAAAGCATTTAAAATGACAAAGAAATACCGAGAAATATTGTTGGCGTACGCGTAAGCTATGGCCGCAAATTCACCAAATTTCACGATCATGCATAGCCCTATAGTTTGAGGCCACTAATAGCTGAATTGAACGCTTTTTCTCTTCCTCCTCCTCAAAACAGCTTCCTTTGAGAGCCAAATTTAGTAGCTAGCTTTTTTCATCTAAATTGTGCATTGAACCGCCCAAAGCAATTGAAATCTAGCCATAAATAGAATAGCGCTGACGTGCCCATGACACACTAGGAAGGGCAAACGCCTACTCGTCTGAAACTGCCGGAAACTGAAAAAGAAAAACAGCAAGCACAGAAAGTCAAGCAGCCCAATAAACACACGAAAACGAGCAGTTCCAGCCAAAGGCTCCACGAAAACGAGCAATAGCCGGAGCTATGGCAAACAGCAGCACTCACATGACTGCAAATAGCCGATAGATACCATATGCCCACACCTAAGCCAAATCCCGAAGAGAAAGAAAATCTCAGGGAGCTAAAGCCAATACTTGAAAAATCAGCTTAGCTACAGCTTTCTGCTCATCCCTAATGCGAAATGAATAGGGAGAAGCGAGACAGTGTGCGTTCGAGCGGGATGAAGTCCGTAAAGGGCACAAATCGTACTGTATCGAACTATAAACTATCTACGCGAAGGTTCGGAGGAAAGGGCAAGGGCAAGAGTGAAGCAACCTCAGCTAGCATTTTATAGTTATGTATGAGAAGTCTTACGAATAATTGCACAATTCTCGATTTTGTTTCGCAATAGACAGATTTGCTCTTTCTTCTGGACGTTTGAGTCATCGCATTAGTTGAGAGTGATGCAGTGTTGCGATGGTGACGAAGGTCGCACTTTACACAAAGGATCCCGAAAAAAACGCGCGAAAATGCAAAGTCGTGAGCAATCAGTTCCGCTAGCATATGTGGACCCCGAGTTTCGAGATTTATAAAGAAGAAATTCACGCTATAAAGTAGCAGCAGAATTTTGCACTAAAAAGTGACAAGATAGAAATGGCTTATGGATAAGGCAGTGGGGGAGGAGGGAATTAGATGATTGGACAACTGTATGAGCAAAAGTCTCCAGCAAATTTTGCCCGAGTCAGGACCCCTCCCCCAGTTGCACCAAAAGCCAAATCTAAAATTTTCACTTCAAACGGCTCGTAGGCGGTGTGACTATACCGTAATCCGTGACAGCGGGGGTCTCGACACGAACGCCTGCATTCAAAATACGGTAAAACGTGTACGAAAAAGCTAAGCTCATAAATCCAAGGCAAGATAAGCATAATCGCTGACGCCAAGTTCAAGCATCAAACGTACAAAGTTATTTCTTTTTCCATCCCACCCCCTTCAATTTTTTTTTCCAATGAGAACACCAACTATTCCCATGATTGCCCCGTTGCCATGGTTCGTTCCACAAACAAACTGGCATAAATACTTTCTTATTCTGTTTTTCAATCAGCTATGAGCTTCCAGAGACACCATAACGTAATCACCAAAGGTCAAAGATCGCTTGACAAGTAACTTTTTATTTGATGTTGTCGGATGCACACGACAGTTATCAACACTTATCATAGCCGACCGTGTGACGCAACGATATTACCAAACGCCGACGAGATCAAGGAGCCATTTCGTATTTATAGCGCGATGAAGCGGTGACAGACCACTTCCGGGACGAAAGTAAAAATTCAGACGAATTTAAAAAAGAAGATAATACATAGCAGAACGACTTGCACGCAGCCACAAAGTGTAGATTTAGGTTTAGTGCAGCGCACTATTGGCCCTCTAGCTTACGTCACTGGACACTGGATACTCTGTGGAAATGGCTGAGTCAACTCTCTCCTACGAGCCACACGTGCTCGTTAGGCAGAATTTGAAACTGAACTCGAGTCAAAATCGTTGAAAAGCAGATAATGCACGCTTGGATATTCATTCTACTGGAAAAAAATATGCAAATCATTAGAATATGATCGCATCTTCGCCCCAACAACGTTAAGTAAGTTTAGTAAACTTGTGTAGTTTTTTTTTTGCGATGTTGACAACATCTGCGCGTAAACGATAAGGATGGGCACTTCATAGCCACTTTTTTCGCGACAATTGCAAGTAAGCTGGGCATTCATAAACATAGCATTTCTTTTCGCGCAAATGTTGCCGTCACCGTAGCACCCTATATCAAACGACTCTACTGTATAAATTGAGTTTTTTCTGTGCAAGAAAAAATCATTGTACAAGCGAACTGCAAAAAAAGTAATAATAGGAAAACAGAATCGACTATAGCGTAATCACACATACTACTGCTCTTCTCTCTGCCACATTCTCGGCATTCTCTATTTACACGATTGGCGGAAATCTCAACGAGAGCGAATGAAGGTCCCAAAGATCAAGATTTGAAAAAATGAAATAGAACTCACGATTCCCGTTGAGGGTATAGAAGGCTCGTTAGATTCTTCACGCTGAATCTTCGGTATCACTGTGGGGACAGTTAAACTCGTCGTCCATACACGCTCTCTCCCTCGGAGCGTGCAAGACGGTCAATTGGGGGTAGAAAACGACGTAGAATGCGTAAGCACTTGACTGCTTGTTTGTTGTTTGATCGCAAAGCTGAGACGATTCACAGCTATACGGCTAGCTTCGAAGTCTGCAAAGCAAAGACAATCAATAAATCAATAGCAGAGAACAGAACGTGGGGCTGTGACGACGACAATGGGCGAACGTGACACATCACTCATGGATAGGCAATTAATGACTGGAATTTATGAATTGAGGACGATCCAAGTAAAAATTTATGATGTCATGGAAAATTGCATCACTGATGATAAACGTATAGATCCCACAGTGAAAAAGCTAACGAGGCAATTCACGACGCGTCGCATCGTTAACCAAGTATTGAGTATGAAATGGGAATCAACATAAAGAAGGCCTTTACGAAAAATTCCAGAAGAAATAACTGCGAAAAAAAGACCCAAAAAGTTCAAAACATTGTGAGAAAAAGAATCATGAAATTGAATAACAAGATTCCTGAACAATGGGAAAAAAGTTGTGAGTTATGTGCGCCAAAAAATTCCCATTTCGAGTTTTCCAACAAGAAAGAAGAGAGTGATGGTCTAACAGTTATTTTCTAGCAAGGGTATTCATGAACTGAATTCGATTTGATTCAACTGAAATTTCAATTATCTCACATGAAATACCAACAATGGTGGCATTGACCAGAATCGTGTGAAAAAGTACATTCGGGAAATGAGAGGGAGGCTAGCAGAGCGTAAAACCAATGGTTTAGAATATAATCTCGAAGAGAATCATACATTTGTGAAATTGCTTCCCCGCAATGCGTCTTCAAAAAATAACACGATGCATTACTGCTGAGAAACTGCTGTTCTTTTTACTTCTTTTGTTCCCATGTTATTTTATGGAGTTGAAATGAAAAAGAATCCAAGAGTTTTGACAAATAAACTTGAAGAAAACATTATTGATACCAAAGGGAGTAATAAAGGACCACAGAGAAATTTGAAACAGGTAGCGAAATTGAAACAAAACCATTTCAAGAACATGAAAAAAAAACGGGAAAAGTGAATTTCTGAAGTATGGTACAAATTTCACATTGAATAGATAACTTACGAGCATTTCAGAAAGCAGACAGTGACAAGATATCCAAATATAACTGGCAGAGACATGTGATACGAATGTATGGGAAGATTGATTGAACTTTAGGCTAAAGTTTTTTCTAATTTTTTTCTCAAAATTTTGCTTCAATAGAAAACTAATGAACACAACACTAACGCATACACCTCTAATAAGCACTTAAAACTATACTAGAAACAAGTGGAACAAAACTCAACAAAGCAAAACGACAGCACAGCACACGACCACATACGAAACTATCGGCAAAGCGTCAGTGAAGCGCGATCGCGAGGGGGGCGGGACGTGTGCGACGAGCAGAGGCGGCGGCGCGGACGGCCGGGCCGCTGTCGCCCCGGTTGGCTCAGCCGCCCGGACTAAAAGTGCATGCTTTGCTCTTACAGAGTAAATATAGTGGTAGTTTACGGTAAATAAGGATAAAACTGATTTTTCTGGGTTAGAAATCTAAAATGTAAAACCAAATGGATGCATTGTGCGATTGCACAACTCTCTGCAAAAACAAGCCATGGGGAGCAGATTTGCTGGATCTAATCTGAGCCCATGCGACAGGTAAAACTAGCTATAATTCCCCCCCGCCCCCCCCCCCCCCCCGTCCTCCCCGCTTCCTCTTGCGAAAACAGGTGCAAAAATAGCTCGCCGTGTTTTTTGAGGCTGAGAGTTCGTTATATAAACAACAGCCCGTCTGTGTTTCAAAACCTTCATCGCGTCATCCTCACTGCACTACGTGCCCAGGCAAACTTATTTATATCTTCGAAGCTGTATGCTAAACCACATGCCAATCATTCTGCCTCCAAAAAAGACAACGGAGCCTTCAAGCCACCCGCACATAGCCACCCACGCGCCACATGTTTATCGCATCATTCTCCCAAGTGCAAGTGAAAATAAATCAAAATGGAACAACTTAAGAATAAACAGGAATCGCATGATCCTGGCAGACCATATTTTCTTTCGCGTGACGCAAATGCACAGCAAACTAACTTGGTGATGACCAATTTCCTTCCGTGCGTCACCGCTTCGTCAACGCGTTTATTCGAAGGAAAACCACCCAAAAAGTAGACCATAGACGAAGTTAGAGCAACTTTTTGTTAGAGTTCCTTTTCGTAAGTCTACATTATATGCTGACTAATTTACAGCACTTGTGGACTATGGTCATCAATAAGTAGACATGCAAGGAGAAATAAGAAAATTTGAGACAAAATTTTCATTTTGATTGAAAACCTACCTCGCAAAGTTCGCGAGAAATAGCAACTCATGACATGTCATCGGAGCGCTGTAGAAAATGATCATTTAATACTTATACTTACTTATTTGATACTTACTTCTTCTCACTTTTCGCTGTTTTTGAAATCTTTCCGCCAGTAAAAGTAAAGAAATTTCAGTAATAAAACAGAGTCACCTTCTTAAAGAAAAGGAAAGTGAGTGAAGAATATTGTCAGAAATAAAAATAAGCAAACCGAAGTTGCATACAAGAACAACTGAGGTGAAATGAAATAAATGAAAAGAAAATGAAGGCTCGTTCTCCTTTCCTCAAACCTTGGCAAAATTGAGAAGAAATTGAGAATGAAGGTTGTTACAAAATTAAAATCAAACTAATGAAGGAAAATATAAGCTACAGAATAAGATTGATTAAACGTAAATAAACAGATAATTAAATAAATAAAATAAAACACACAACCGACTCGACAAACCGGTCAAACCACACACGCCGCTTATATGTCCACATTGCACAAGCAGTACTGAACGAGAGTCTCTTGGTCTGCTCTCATTTTCATTAGTGGAAGTGCGCCATTTTTTGCAAGCATTCTCGCCAGGCTAAAACAAAAGATTATCATTCTTGCGTACAGTGGCGCGTTTTTACCTTAGTCTTAGCTAACACAAATGGCATAGAGTGCGAAGTAGGGTTCTAACATTTACGCAACACCGTTATTCTGATTATGTTCTACTACGGAATCGGCGCCTAACTGAGTGACTTCATCCGTTGCGTTGAGAAAATCTCAGCAAAGAATATAATCTGAGATTTTGCATAGTATAAATCTGCAGCTTCTGATTGTTTATGTGCATGAAATCTCCCATGTTAACTGAAAAAAGTTCTTATTGACGTAGATATTTCTAAAAACAATCTAGACGGTTCTTTCCAGGGCTACTTACGTCAATAAGCACTCCTTCTAGTTACCATGGGAGATTTTATGCACAATTATAAGCGGGAATACTTACACTAATTCCAAATCTTGGATTAAAGTCTTCAATGATTTTTTCTCAACACTATAACGATAGCCACGTCACTATAACTTGAAAATGGCTTCAAGATGGCAATCTGAAGATACTTTAGTCTTTCTTTTTGAGCCATATACGAGATTGATAAATGATTTATTAGAAAACGGCTAACTTTTCGCCAGATCGCCTTCGTCAGAGCCTGTAAGGAACAATAGATCTGCAGCCAATTTGAACAATTTTTACAGCTGAACTAAAAATACCCTGATCTAACCTAATCTAATTTATTACAATCTAAAAATAGTATAGCAAGGCACTGGGAGCATGAAGACGAATATACGAGCTGAAATCGAGCGACTGGAACTGGAACAGTTGCTGATCGGCAGCGGCGCCGTCTGTGCAAGCAAAGAGTTTTTTAATGATTGCAACATCTGTTTTCCTTCTCCATACTATTTTTAGAAAGTTTGTCATCTGAGCCATTTTCGTCAAACAAAGCGAGCGCAGAAAAAGCTCCCCGGTTTCCTCCTTTTTACGATTTTCCGCATTCCTACTGGGTTTCAAAATCAATAGCGGTGCAGTTTCTACTCCAATTTCAAAAAAATATCCATCCATACAAATAAATATCAATCGCTAACATCCTCTAAAGGGAAAAAGAGTTCACAAAAGTCTTTGAAATTAACTCGATTATGAAAAGCTTTCAAAATTTAGACAATGACATATTGGTTCAAATTTACCTCTCACACCTGTTTTATGCGTTGTTAATCAGAAAATTATCGCTGCAAAAGAGTTATGAAACATCAATTTTATTCACTATACGAGAAAAATCGACTATAAAATGCTCAAACTATTGGAATGTTTTTACGTTTTCAATGAAAATGATAACAAAAGCATATAGTTACAGTTGTCACCACCGTTGTATCAAAAAACGGTCGAAAAAATCAAAATATCGAAGTTCACAGGAATTTCTCGTGATTGTATTTGATGAGCAATGCTCACTGATGTCATTTGCTCACACTTTCAGTCTCTGATACATTCTAGCGATTTCTGAACCTTCGATAAGATGACCAATTAGAATGACTAATATTACTATGTATCGTCTATTCTATGAGTAGAAGACGCGTGGCCGCATTGCGGACATTGTCTTAACATGTTTGTGTTTGTTCTTTGCTGTTTCCAAAGAGTTAATAAACGTGGACGAGAAAAATGACAAGCATAAACCTGCTAAGTACACGATTAAGCTTGTTTAGACAATGTATGCAATGCGCTCTCGCGTCTCCTAGTCATAGAGTGAATGATACCATCATAAACCTTCCGTCTGTCGAAGCTATGAAGTTAGATATACTCCGTACATATCAAGTGCTACAAAGCTAATGCTGTACAAATAAAGAATAAGCGTGACGCACCTAGACATGAGACAAAGGTCAGAGAATGGCATTTTTAGGACCACCCCTTTGTGAAGAGATGCCTTCGATTGCCGTAGGATTTGATAATGAAGGGAAGAAGACCTTCGATTGCTGTAGGATAGAATAAAGAAGGGAAGAGTTTTTATTTTATGAAAATACGAAAAATTCCAAAAAGTAGTACGAGAGGAAATGAGTAACAATAATGAGGTTGATGACTGCTAGAAGAAATCGCAAATAAAAAGATCGTAAAAAATTGTTTAAAAAAAATCGTGCTAACCAGAGCTTACCGTTATATAAACAGTGATTCATTAATTGCAAAGATAAACAGAAGCTTGAAAAATCAACATACACTCAGAAATACCGTAGCTTACGGGAGACGCAAATTCAAAGATAAAAAATCCGATCGGAGCTGATAGAACTGATGATAAGCGCGAAAGCAACGGGCAATCGTTTATCGCTTTCCACCAATCCCATCAATCAACAATTATTTGGAAGAACTATCTGTGACTGGTGCGCAGCAGAGAAAACAGAACCACCTAATCTTATCAAAAATCAAATAGACATTTGTAAAAAATGTCTGAGGAAGTGTCTACTACTTTTCCCTTCCTAAAGTTCAAAATTATAAATTGACTAGCTGGCTTACCCGGCTCCGCCGTATCCGGACCAAACTTGGCACACATACACTTCGAGCCCCGGCGGGTGTCACAGTCCACTTTTCGTTATCGATCGATGTCGATTTTACCGATTTTTATCGATTTTTTTGCAGAGTTCACCTACAGGGCTAGGAGTTGGCACAGGGGGGAAGTGAGCATGGGGATTCCGAATACAATATTAGTTTTCAGAATTGTCGATTACTTTTATTGATTTTATCGATTTTTTGTAAATTTTGACATGCGAGGCTGGGATTTTGCACAGGGGGGTAATCGAGCATGCTGATTACGAACACAATATTAGTTTTCAGGATCGTCCATTACTTTTATCGATTTTATCGATTTTTTTTGTAAAGTTTGACCTGCGGGGCTGGGAGTTTGCACAGGGGGGTAATCGAGCATGCTGATCATCCCCAAGGGGGGTGATCAGCATGCTCGATTACCCCCCTGTGCCAACTCCCAGCCCCGTAGCTCAAACTTTGCAAAAAAATCGATAAAATCGATAAAAGTAATCGATAATCCTGAAAACCAATATTGTATTCGGAATCCCCATGCTCGATTACCCCCCTGTGCCAACTCCCAGCCCCGTATGTGAACTCAGCAAAAAAATCGATAAAAATCGATAAAATCGGTATCGATCGATGACGAAAAGTAGCCTATGACACCCGCCGGGGCCCGAAGTGTATGTGTGCCAAGTTTGGTCCGGATCGGTTCAGAAATGGAATTTTCTATTCGGAACATACGTACACACAGACATACATACATACAGACAGACAGACAGACATACATACAAACAGACATTCAGCTTTATATATAAGATATAACGACTGAAAGTTTCCTAAAAAAGTGGTTGACGACATTCTCCTTTATAAGAAAAAAATCGTACCACGCCCACGTCCACCCTTTCTTCAAAGAGAAATTCTACCAGGTTGAGCAAGCATTTCACTGAATTTCAATAAAAAGTGCAAGAAGATCTGCAGAACTTCGTGTCATTCTAAGACGGCGACCAAAAAACTCACTCGTCATGTGAAAAATGACGAGTGAGCTCTTGGTCGCCGTCTTAGAGATCAGACAGCTAAGTAAATCTGCACGTCAAAGAATCAACACGGCGGCATTCGTCATTCCTCACGATAAAAATTTCAGCATTGCAGCACATCTTGAATTTGCAAAATACACAAAAGTAAGTGTTGCTCTGTGCAAGTCGTGAAATTATTCAAGTATTCTCAACTTGTTGCTGATAGGAAAAAAAATTCCAGCAATTTTAAGGTGCCCGGAAAATAAGCGCAGACATTTGGTCCCCTCGCGGTAGACAGCCAATGCCTTTTCTGTGATTTTGTTGTTGTTTTTTTTTTTATGGAAAAAAGAGGTCAATGGGAAACAAACCGCTTCCTGGTTGTTTACACTTTATGATTTTGTTTGAAGTCCCAAATATCTACAATGGAAACAACCATTTGCGTAATTCTATGACACATGGACCACTTTCAAAATTCTCATGGCCCATTTTTGGGCGGTGGGAGGGGGTGGGGGGGGGGGGGGGGGGATTTATAAGTAACCAAACAATGCATACCATTTGACAGCGTTAACGGCCGAGCATACTTCACGCGATTTCAGTCGTGACGCGATTTGGCAATTCGCCAGAAGTCTTCAGAACAAACACTGGCAAACTACACATGCATAGTGTGTATAATTTACAAGGCTTGATGAAATGCCCTATCTTCTGTACATTTGAAAGGTGTTTACAGTGAGTTATGAACAATTGGAATATTGCCAAATCGCGTCGCGACTGAAATCAGTATG